AAGATGTGGTATGATTGCCAATGAGACAACTCTCCACAAGAGACCAAACGACACAGAAATTAACAACTATACGGCCTTCAACAATGAGCAAAGCCCATACCGCACAGTCAGCTATAAAAGGCCCCGAAATGACAATGTAAAACAATTCAAACGAGAAAACTAACGGCCTAATTTATATAAAGTATTACAGTAATATTTAAAATAAAACAGAAAAGTAAACTTTCCACTTCTATGGCCAGGAGTATAATATAAAAAAAAATAAAGAATTTCTTTAAAAAATAATTTAAAATTCATCTTTAAATGTTAGATTATAATAATATATTATAACACAGGTATAGGTCATTTAAATATTTACTGATTACCTGGATCAATATATCAGGTATAAACATGTCTAAAAATAACTTAACTAGTATGGAGACATTTTGATGAAAACGTCTGAGAAGATTCAAATGAAGTGATATTTACCTTAATCAAGAGGTACACATTAAAAAAAGATTAAACTTTTATTTATAGTATAATATACTGTACATGTTTGAAAAACTAATAGAGGATTATTGTAACCTCATTGGAATATGTTGTACATAGCAAAGTATATATACTAGTATATATTGTTCATGCTTGTTAGTACAACTAATATTCTGAGAGGAATAATACTCCTAAAATAATTCTTTTAATCTATATATATTAAGGCAATACTCAAACAAAAGATGTCTCGTCTAAGAAAGATTAGTCACCAATAATCCTACAATTGCATTTTTTGTAATACTGAAGAAAGTACACATTAAAATGTCATGTCTAGAGGGATAGTATTTAACAATATTCCTACAATAACACTTTTATTGTAAGGAGATACTAAAACATGAGTGAACACAGTGAATTATCTTATCTAGAGGGTAATACTTCAACAATAACCCATTTTTATTTAATACAATTCACAAACAACAAGAGTGGACACACTAAAATGTCTTATCTGGAGAGATAATATACTCCAATATTCCTTCAATAACAAGGCAATACTTAAACAAGAGTGGACACACTGAAATGTCTTGTCTAGAGGGATAGTATTCACCAAATTTCCACCATTAACACTGTTATTGTAAGGCAATACTAAAACAAGAGTGAAAACATAGAAATGTCTTGAATAGAGATACTGTGGATTCATTTATTTTCGTGGGTACCAATTTTCGTGGATTGAGGAAACTTCCATTTTCGTGGATATTTGAATTCATGGTTTTGCTTTAGGCAACATATATTTCTATGGAACATTTGTAATTCATTGAACATTTAAATTCGTGGTTTCCCTGTACCCATGAAATCCACGAAAATTGGTATCCAACGAATAAAAATGAATCCACAGTATAACATTCACCAATATTCGTAAAATAACACTTTTATTGTGAGGCAATACTAAAACAAGAGTGAACACATTGAAATGACTTGTATAGAAGATAATACTTCAACAATAACCCTTTTCATCTAATACAATACTCAAACAACAAGAGAAGACCCACTTGTTTAGATAGATATACCATACATAGATCACCATGCATTGCACCCACTATCACGTTTCAATATTAAAATAATCAGGAATATGGATCAAAACTCTAATTTGGTTTTACTTTTGGTCCTTTTTTTTTTATTTAATCAGCTCTTCAACATTTGTATAAGATTTGGACTCTTTAAGCATCACTGAATATACATTAATTGTTGAAATGTGCTTTGTTTCAGGTAATAGGTAACTTAAATGTTAGTTATACCATTGATAAGATACCTCTGCTGGTAGAATTGTAAATATCAAAGGCTATCCCCAGCCCATTAGCAAGTACCTTGATACCGACATGAAAGATCATGAAAATATGGATATTATTTTATTGATATTGTAGTTATAAAATTTTGGAATTGTTATTTAATTAGAAAATTATTTCTCTCATGCCTACCTCTGATTCCTGGTCAGGGTTTGGCTTAATTTTGGTACTTTTTGGTTTTTCAGCTCTTCAACATTTGTATAATGTTTTGAATTTTAAAAATATTTTGGCCTTGAGGCTATTGAGCATCACTGTAGACACAAGCAGACGGACCCTTCACTTTTTTTTGCTTTTTTAGTTTCTTTATCTATATACTTTTTTTTCTTTTTTCAATTTATAACAGTCTTTTAATAAACAGCTTTGCCTAGCGCAGCTGGATACGACCGCAGAGGTCCAACCCTGAACAGTAAGGGCAAAAATGGACACAATATTCAAGCTTGATACAGGTCTGAATTTGGATTGTAATTAAATATTTGACACATTATAGGTTTCTGACACAGAATAAATGTAGTCAAAGAACTTGAAATTGGTTATATGATTTGAATTTATATTCAAATAAAGATTTCTTGCTTTTGTGCAATACACTGTGCTGTTGCGCAATACTTAGAAAATCTGTTTAAATAAATTGTGACCCCCAATTTTTCTTTGGAAAATTAACAATTTCTTAAATCTTGAAGATAAAAAATTGACCCCCCAAAAAAAAGATTGTTTTGACCCCCCCCTTTTTATAAAAAAAAAAACAGTTGAAGAAATGTTCTATTTGTAAAATGTGGTACAATTTAAAAAAAATCGATACACTTAAACACAAGTTAATGCCTGAAAATTAAAAAAATGCTTGTTTTAGACCCTTTTTGGCCCCTAATTCCTGGACGGTTTGGGCAACTACCCCCAAAATGAATCCTAACCTTCTACTTGTGGTATTGAACCTTGTGGTACAATTTCAGAGCAATCACAATACTTAAACACAAGTTATTTTCCTGAAACTAGAAAAATGCTTGTTTTGGGCCCCTTTTGGGCCCCTAATTCCTAAACGCTTATGACCATCACCCCCAAAAACAATCCCAACCTTCCTTTTGTGGTATTGAACCTTTTGCTTAAATTTCATAGAGATCCATACACTTAAACTAAAGTTATTGTCCAGAAACCAAATGTCTTCGGACGACGACGACGACATGATAGCATTATACGACCCCAAAATTTTTTTGCGGTCGTATAAAAAGCTTGTTATTTTAAAACAGAGTAGCGAACATCCTTAAACCAAAACTTTCTCCTGATACAGGACAAACGTCTACTATCGTAAACAGGGCATAGGAATAAGGAGATGTGGTATGATTGGTACGATAATGAGATAACTCTCCATCTAGAAACTAGGAAACCAAATTTAAGCAACTACAGGGCACTGTTTGGACTAAAATAATGTACAAAACACATACCATATTGTAAGGATTAGGACTATGAACAGCAAAAAATATCAATTATTGAACCATGAAAAGATATCACTCAGTCATGTAACTCTTATTAGAACACCATGTACCATACAATAATCCTACATATGGCATATGTCAGTTGTCATAGACTAAAATTTTATGGTTCATTGACATAGTAATGCATGACTGAGATCATAATTGCTTCATTATCAGGTCAGTTTTTTAAACCCGTCCTTTGGTCTCTGGCGGAAAGTTGTCTCATTAGTGATCATACAATATCTCCTTACTTTTATATTAGGTCATTAAATAAACCATGTAGACCCTCACCACAAGGCCATATAATGTGTGTATACAATACAAAGACAATTTGCATCAAGTGTTAAATAACACAAATACCACTTGGAAAGAGCCCATGAGGCAAAAAATCTTATTTGTTCATATTTAGGTCATTGCTGAACCATGAGAACTGTGCCCAGCAAGACTAATAACTTATGATTTATATATGTTTAGGTCATGGCAGCTAGTAAGTCTATACTATGTGGACCTTGTCACAAAGGAAAAGTAAACATAACAGCTAACATCTGGTGTTACAACTGTGATGAAGGATTATGTTCAACATGTTCAGGTCATCATAAACGATCCCTAGGAACGCATGAGCATAAGACAATTGATACAAAAAGTTATATACCATCCATCCCAGCTATCAAAACAGAATGTGACAAACACAGTCAACAATTCCTCCTGTACTGCCCTAGTCATTTAATGCCTTGCTGTGATGTATGTATTTCAATTACTCATTCAAAATGCACTGGAATAAAAAGTCTAGCTAGTGTAGTAGAGACAATCAAAATAGAAAAATCTAAGGAAACTGTTGAGACTGATATACACTCTATCTTATTGTTTTTGGACCAATTAGTAAATAACAAATCAAAGAACATAAGAGCAGGAGAACATCAGAATATAAGCATAAAGAAATCAATTGGAGAAATTCGAAAGGAAATAAATAAACATTTAGACCACCTGGAGAAGACGTTATGCCAAGAAGCAGATACCATTTGGAATCAGGAAAAATCAAAAGCAACAGGTTTCATCTTTGAAATTGAAGAGCAAAAGAAAAACTTGAAGAAAATGAAAGAACATTTGCAAACAGTAACAACACATACTTCCAAACTGCAATCATTTCTAGGTGTACATCATATTGAACAACAATTACACCAATGTCAAAGATTTGTTGATGATCTGGACAATGATGAAAGGACCAAAGAATTTGACATCAAAATGAAGCAAAATGATGAGATTGAAAAGATATTAAGCAAACTAGTATCAATAGAATCTTTAGGAGAAGTAATGGTTGTTAAGACAGGAACAGACTTCAACAGAGGAACAAGAGTGAGGAGGGAGGCACAAGTAGAATCACAAGAACAATCCAACATACACAACATGACAATGAATATTGAGACAAAGATAAAGATTAACATAAATAAGGTAATTTGGGACATGATTTGTCTGATGGATGGAAGAATAATAGTAGTGGAAAAGTATGGTAAAGTTTACCTATTTACTACTGATGGAAACCATAAGAAACAGTTAAAAATATTAGATAAAGCCTTCAGTGTTACACAGATCAATCAAAACACTATTGCCTTAACTTATCCTGATGAGAAAGCCATTAAGATCTTCAATATGGAGAATGAAACATTTATCAAAGTTATAACATTACACAAAGAATGCACAGGTTTATCATTCTCCAATAATTCGTTTGCCATAGGTTTGAATTCAAATGAAATCTGTATTATTGACTTGGAAGGAAATATATTGAAGTCAATACAAGTTCAGAGTATATCAAACCTGCGTAACCTTGTTTACTGTAATGACAGAATAATCCATAGTGACTATTATGGTAAAGCAGTATACTGTTATGATGGATCAGGTAAACAGATCTGGCAATACAGACAGGATTTAACAGATCCAGTAGGACTTTGTACAGATACTTATGGAAACACTATTGTAGCAGACTATAAATCTCATAGAATAATAGTTATATCAAAAGATGGACAGGACAGTAAAGTACTGATTAGTAAGGAGGATGGACTGATGTCTCCTAGGTGTATTAGTTTTAAACACAATGAGTCTTCAGGATTTATTTGTGATATTGATGGCAAATACTTGGCCAAATTTGATTTATCTTATGGCTGATATACACAATGAGATTTTTATGGCATTACATGAATCGATGAAGGTAATATACATATAACCATTGAGGATATTTCGTGTAAAGTTTGAAAGTGAAATGAAATGTAGACAAATGTATAGATGTTTATACATGTTATATGAATTGTATTGTTGGGTTACGTCTAATTAATGGCCACCTCAAATATCCTTATATTTCTAAGTGGTGATATTTGATGTGAAGTTTGAAAGAATTGTAGGCTATTGTATAGATGTATGTTTTGCATATCCCTTTGGTATCTTCAGCCTCTATATTGTTTGGTTACTGTCTAATTAATGACCACCTCAAATATCATTTTATTCATTAAATATATATAACCAGTGGTGATATTTGGTGTAAAGGTTGAATGTGAGAGGAAATGTAGGCAAGTGTATAAATGTATACAACTGATTTATACAGTGTGTTCTTATGTTGTGCTGTTATACCACTATTCCTGGTTAGAGGAGGGTTGAGCGCTTACATACATGTTTAATCCCTCAACATTCTATATGTGTCTGTCCCGAGTCAGTCATTGGTTGTTGTTGGTAGCTGTCTATCATATTTGTTCAAAGTTAGATAAAGTTATACAGGGATTCCTTTATTTTCATGGGTGTTAATTTTAAGTAGATTGAGGAAAACTTGCATTTTCGTGGATGTTTAATTTTGTGTTTTTGGCAAAGTCTCTTATAGACAGCATACAACCTTATAGAAAATGTGTCATACTTTGAATTTTTTAATTCATGGTTCACCTGCATCCACGAAATCCACGAAAATTGGTATTCAATGAATAATAATGAATCCACAGTATTTAAAGTCAATTACTGTAAATTCAGAAACTATTGCGTGCATTTATTATTGCGATTTTGTCATTTTAGACTAAACTGCGATTTTAATTTTTGCGATATTGAGAAAAATCATGTTTAATTCATATAAAAAATTTCAAAATGCGAGTTTAAATTATTGCAATTATAACCCTGTCGCATTTTTCGCAATAATAAAAACATCGCAATAATTTCTGAATTTACAGTATTATATATAAGAATATCATGTATATATCCCATATTTCTTTGCTGTTAAAAATCATAATCATATGGAATCCATATAACTGAGGAATTAAAATAAATTCTAAAAATTTGAAATTACACAGGCTTATAAACATGGCTTTGATGATCATGAAATTTGATGTTAATACATGGGAATAGAATAGTAGAGCCAGTAACCTCAATAAACGGCCCTGAAAAGATGTTTTTTTTTTTAACTTCTACTATATGAGTAAATCTAAAGTGTACGTATTAGTAATTATATTATTTTTGAGAGAATCATAAGAAAAAGTTGTATATTCGGAAATCGCAATAGATTTCATTTTACTCAATTTCTCTAGAAATTTGTCACCTTCTTCCACCTTATTTCATGATTTCATATGTGGCGCCACGCCTTGCATCACCTCGCCCATTAAAATTTTTGTTTATAAGCAAGGAATATAATATATAAAGAACGTTTCAGTGAAAATATTTGTAAGAGAGGAGTGGCACCATGGTTAATCTTTCAGACAAGAGTACACACGCTGAAATGTCTCGCCTTCTTTACTAATCATTGATAGTATGTTGATAGTCCTAAATATAAAACTTTATTACAACTGTCACATAAACTTAACATTAACCAAGTAAACTAAACATTGACCAATGAACCATGAAAATGAGGTCAAGGTCAGATGAACCATGCTAGGCAGGCATGTACAGCTAACAATTCTTCCATACAACAAATATAGTTGACCTATTGCTTATAGTTTAAGAAAAACAGACCAAAACACAAAAACTTAACACTGAGCAATGAACCTTGAAAATGACGTCAAGGTAAAAAAAAACAACCTGCGTGACTGACAAATAGATCATAAATATTTCCATACACCAAATATAGTTGAATTATTGCATTTAGTATTAGAAAAAAAGACCAAAACTAAAAAATTTAACTTTGACCACTGAAGTATGAAAATGATGTCAAGGTCAGATGACACCTGCCAGCTAGACATGTACACCTTACAATCATTCCATACACCAAATATAGTAGACCTATTGCATACAGTATAAGAAAAACAGACCAAAACACAAAAACTTAACCATAACCACTGAACCATGAAAATGAGGTCAAGGTCAGATGACACCTGCCAGTTGGACATGTACACCTTACAGTCCTTCCATACAATATACTAGACCTATTGCTTATAGTATCTGAGATATGGACTTGACCACCAAAACTTAACCTTGTTCACTGATCCATGAAATGAGGTTGAGGTCAAGTGAAAACTGTCTGACGGGCATGAGGACCTTGCAAGGTACGCACATACCAAATATAGTTATCCTATTACTTATAATAAGAGAGAATTTAACATTACAAAAAATCTTAACTTTTTTTTCAAGTAGTCACTGAACCATGAAAATGAGGTCAAGGACATTGGACATGTGACTGACGGAAACTTCGTAACATGAGGCATCCATATACAAAGTATGAAGCATCCAGACCTTCCACCTTCTAAAATATAAAGCTTTTAAGAAGTTAGCTAACGCCGTCGCCGCCGCCGTAGCTGCCACCAGATCACTATCCCTATGTCGAGCTTTCTGCGACAAAAGTCGCAGGCTTGACAAAAACCAGGGGTGATCTCAGGTGCTTCGAAAGGATAAGCAGAACCTGCTCCATATGTGGCACCCGTCATGTTGCTCATGTTAGTTCAAATGCAGTAATAAGTCTGATTCAGTGGGTCACATTTGGGGAAAAAGAATTAGTGTGGTACTCTGAAATTCATAATATAGACATGGTCAAAGGTTAATATCTAGATATAAAGAGCAGAATAGTCACTATATATAGTAGCAGTTTGATTAGTGTCCTGGAAACTGCATTTAACATAGAGGATACTTAGGTATTGGATCCAACATATATTTATATTGTTAAAAGACATAAGATTAATAGAGAATGTTATATGGCTTTTTCAATATCACATCTGCATCAACCCGAGACACCAATATAATCCCAAGAGCTCTGAGGGTTGATACGGTGTGTGATTTTGAAAAAACCATATCATATACACTTTATTATATATCTCAAGTAGATGTTTTTTCATGTGACGTGACATCATACAGATAAGGGGTTTGATTTCTTTGCAACAGAAACTGATGTCGATGACGTGACGTCATACAGATTAAGGGTGTGATAAAGCCTTTGCAGCTGTGACTGATATCGATATCATCACGGATGGTTGATACAGCATGATTGCCATTGATTGTATTAAACATACAATTTACATAATTTACTACTAAGTATATAATAAAAACACTTATAAAGTGGTGTTATAAACTAGAAGGTAAATAACATACTTCATAAAACTTTAAACTATTCGAGTATAGCTGTAGTGTGAAAGTCCTAGAGAGGAAGATTTTAGGCCGAAACCTACTGTGGAGTTAGACTATAAGAAATGTTGTTGGGTTGCTGTCTACATGTATACAAAACCCTATTGAAGGTCTGAAAACAGTACCAACTTCTTTCCATTACATTCCTTTCATTAACCATGTTAACAATTTAAAGTGAACTCATATTAAGGTTTGATCTTAAATAACTATGGGAAAGGAAAAATTTGTAATGAAGCTAGAAGGTGTGAATATGTTCTAAATTGGTCAGACAATACTTGGTAATATTTTATGAACATTTCAAGCCCAAGTCTTAATGTTCGTAAAATATGACCAATGTTGACTTATCTATAAGTAAGCTATTTAATATGGGATAACAATATAACCAATAGAAAAACAAAGTTAATTCCATCCATATTACTGAAATACAAAACTATTTCCATCATCACTTTGACTGAAAAGAATAAAAATAAAAAGATAGGAGATATGGCTTTATATCAGCATTAATGATAATCAAAGACATAAGTTCACTATCATATGTTTCAGTAGTTAATTCACATTAAGAATAATTACTGTTCAAGTTCTGTTTGATTTCATATCTATCTATAATTTCGTTCACAAACAGTGTTCTCGATAAATGAAAAGAGCTCAGGATTTTGTGAACAATCTGATATCATAGGTATGAATATCTTCATTGTTAACTGTTCAGTTTTAATTAAATTGATAAGTTGATTGAACACATGAAGACTTTTTATTAGCTTCTTTTAACTTTTACTTTTTTCTTTAAAAAATGTTCTCATTCATGTAAGATAGTACAAATCTACCTGTTTTAAAATGGACTGGACTGAAAAAGTGGGATAAACCATTCTCATAGACATTTTTAAAAATGAATTCATCCATCATGGGATAATCCATTTTACAAAGCTATACAAATTTACCTTTATAAAAATGAACTGCTCTGGTATGGGTAGAACAATTCTAACCCACATAATTCTAAATAATTTTAAAGAAAAAAAATTTCTTCCTTTTTTTAAATGAATTAAAATAAAACAATGATTTTGAAGTAAATATAAAAACGATTAATAAGATTATGTGTCAACATGACCAAAATGTTGATTCATGTCAATTTTTATTTGATTTTTAGTTAAACTCTCTAATGAACAAATAGCAAATTGCCTTCACTAAATAAAAAAAAAGCAAAACAACAAATTTTGAACTTACTGATTTATCGTTTCAAAATTCAACCTGAGACAAAACTTTTGTGGACTTCAAAAAAAGATTAGTGACACTTTAAGGAAATTGTATGTGAAGTAAATGAATAAATATATGACTACATTCCAATTTCTACTTGCAATTAGCCATAATCTAGAGGAACATAATTTTTTTATTGCATTCAACATCTTGATATCATTGAAAGCCACTATATGTGTGACTTGAATAAATTATTTATAATTTAGATAATGAGAATTTCATTTTATTCTATTTGGGTTATTTTTTCAATCATTCATTTTTTCATCATTTAAAAAAAATATCAAACTAGCCTAACAATGCACAAAGTTTCAAGTCAATACATAAAAACTATGGATGAGGAGTTGTGCTGAAAAGGTGAGTATTTTCTAAAGTTAAAGGGGCATATTTTTTGGGGAGAACCATCTATTTTTTATATATTTATATCAAATATAAAGCTTTTAAGAAGTTAGCTAACACCG